GATGCATGCAACCCAGAATATTTTTCTTTTAAGTCTGAGTGTGAAAGATAGCATTACTTGGTAACAGATTAGCCTTTAAAAGCTTTGGTAACTTGTCTGAGAATTATCTGAAAAAGTCAGTTGACAATTATAACACTAAGTTTTGCTGAGTCGCTTCTCTCCAGGATGGGTGCACTTGTCCACCAGTTACCCATAGGAGGGGACCTGATGAAGGAGCCTTCTCTAGCCATCAACTTCTTTCATCCCCAGCAATCGATGCATTAGTAATACAAGAGCATGCACCCAGGTCTCTGCATTATGTACATAAGAATCTCTCCAGGTTACTCAGTTCATACATAGTCTTGTATGATGAGTGAGAAAGACTGAAAGGAGAAAGCTGCAGAAATGCAAGGGTATTTCATGGCCTGGAGGAAATATTGTACACCAGAAGAGGGGTCTTGGGCTCTTACAATCTTTTTCCCAAAACCTAAAGATGCTCACCAGTCATGATAAAACTGAGAGCCAGTGTGTGCAGGTATTTATTGGTTTATGTGATCTGGTCTTCCATTAGTAGAGCATGGCATGTTTATATGTGTCTCTGAAGGCTGACTGTAAACCCAGAATGTACTGTTATGGTTTTGTGGGAAAAGGTGTTTAAATGACAGTAGAGGCTGAAGAGGAGCAATGACACCAAGTAATGTTGTATCCTGCTTATGAGAGGCAATACCAGAGACACAGACCTGTGCTGTGAAAGGATGGCAGAGGTTATATCTACACTGCTAAATGCACCCAGCCTAGGGAGTGGTCCCTGCCTACAGATCAAGAGGTAGGGAATGTTGCTCCACACTGCTGAGCACTAGCTTTCTAGAGCAGACTGGCTACATCCACAATACAGAGAGACCAGTGCTGGATCTTTTCTGAGACTCATGTAAGGCAAGGTGTAACGATCTTTCTTTTTCCTTTCCTTTCTCCTCAGGACAAAGTGAATAATGTGAGGGCTCACCAAAGTGATCTTTTTACAGCGTGAAAGTGAGGCCATGTATTGCACTTGCGGGGGTGTGTACTTAAGGCATGTATGAGGTCAGGATAACATTGAAGAAACAAACCTGCTTCACTCTTGTCTACCACACCTTTTAAAAAAAAATTCTGGATATGTGTGGGGGTTAGCTGCTTGATGCATTGTGAGCTTCAGCATGAATTACCATTCATGCAATCTGGAGCGGCAGGGGACCTGCACACTGGAGGGAACTTGGAACTGAAACTGATTAACACCAGATATGTATTCTCAGCAGGCAGCAAGGAAACATATTCAAGCTAAGAGAAATTTAGGACTATATATTCCCCAGTGGAGTTGGGGAATATGTACCTGGGACAGGTAATAGCTAACTATCCTTTCAACATATACCCTTTTGTTTTGAATTCAGTCTTAGTATTAAGTGGTTTCTTTTCTATGATGATATGATGCAGAGTTTAACCCTGCTAGAGCAGGTACCAAGCTTTAGAGGGGAACGGGTATGCAAGGAAATAGTGATTACTATAACCTATAATGTTTTATACCAATGTACAAGAGCTTTCTTGGATGTTTTTTCTTTTCTTTTTTTTTTTTAACCTTGTAACATTTTATGGCATAGGAACTGTATTTTCTCTCCTTGCCTTGATGCCACATATTCAAACCTTCTGTCTCCATCCATCCATTAAGCATTTAGGTAAAAGATGACCTTCACAATTAATTTATTTTTTCTATTCTTTTTTTTTTTTTTTTCATGAAGTACCATCTCTACATATTAGTGCTAAATTGAAATAGCTTCTTCTTACTGACAGTGCCCTGAGCAATACAAAATTCCTGTTTGTCAGTAGACATCCTTGCTACTTCAGTGCTTATCACTAAAATGAGATAATAATAATAAAACCCCTTCTTTTTAAGGATGACACACTCCTCTGGCACTGTACCCTCTGTTGGCACCATATGATGACATCAAAATAAGAGTGACTTGGGGGAGTGTGGAAGAGCAAATGATTCAGAGTGAATAATTTAATAACATTTAGCCTCTTTTCCGTGTGTCAAGTGCCCACAAGTAGCTTAATACTTTTCTCAGCTATATTCATTACCTGTGACTATTCATCACATATTTTCTCTCAGTAACGTGGATTTTAAATTGTTCATTTGAACTGTTTATTCAAATGAAATATTACTTTTCTTGACATATACGTTTTGTTCAATGAATGGATAAATGCAAATGAAGTCAGGTATCTAGTGGAAATAGATTAAAAATTAATAATTTACTCTCTCAAATATTTGCTATGTGAGCACTAAACATATTTCTACTAGCAAGTTTTCACTAGAATGTCTGAAAATATTGTGAGTACAACTAGGAGACATTTAATAGCTATAGTGTTTATTAAGGTAGTCTCCTAGAATGGGCAACCAAACCAACAGAAAAGATGACCTTAAATTTTCCCCCACTCCCCAAAAAGCACCCCAAAGTAAAATCATGCCAATATTAAAAGAAATAGGCCTGATATTAACTTCTTTCTTAAATCAGGTTCTTCTGGGTAGTCTTTAAGGTTTTGGGATAAGTTCTGATGTCTCTATATCTTCCCTCCTCTCTAAAGCACTCAGATATACACTGAGCAACCTCACCTGTGAAAAGCTATCTATAGTAGCACAGAGGTCAACCTAACCCTTTGGCCAGGAGTCCTTGGAACAGCAGTTTTAGAACTGTAATCTAGCCTTTTTTTTTTACTAGCAAATGTGACAGCCCTTTGGCAGAGCTCTCATAAGCTCTCTCCTCTCTTACTTCAAAGTGCTTTCCTGCATGTTACATATTTTTTCTCTAAAAGCTAGTGTAGCAGGAATGATCAAAACAGATATTAAAGCCGTTTACCTGTTCTGTGCTCCTTGCAATATTTCATGTTGCTAATGAAGGTTTCCATAGGAGACTATTGAGATGCTACAGTGTTTACTAGTACCTACTGCTTCCTAATCCTATTACTCTTTTGCAGCCTGCTGAACCTACTGATGACTCATTTGTATTGTGCATGGACTCATTCAAGCATACACAGGTTGAATTCCTCCAGCTGTTACTACTGTGCTTGACCGTAAAGGAATGGATGACACCCCTTTTTGTAACTATGATACCTGTGACATTATTTTTCTTTAATATCATCTGTAAAGGGGATCCAAAGTTTACTTTACCCAAAATGCCACATTCACTGTAATGAATGTGATATATGGATATCTCTAACTGATGGACACAAGTTTAGTAAAAAGGCAAGGTGTTGAGACAGGTTGTTCAAAGCCATTGTACAGACAGATGGCAGCTACTGCTGCTGCCACCTGATAACGCTGACAAAAGATCTAAATGTTGCTCAGTTTCCTTCTTGTAACTATATTCACAACCTTTAAGTTGCTGTGGTTTGGTTCCCCTTTCCTTTCATGCCTTTTATTTTATCCTTGTCACTTCAATATCTTTTTTTGAGAGAATTTCAGGCAGGTCATTACTGCAGCAGAATTTTCAACATCTTTTTGTTCTTATCATATCCTTACTCTACAAAATTGGAAATGCCTGGTTTTAGACCAGCAGAACAGGTTTGGCAGTGATAACGAGGATCAGCCAAGAGTCCAGATCCCCAAAGAAGTCTGTAGGGAAGGGGAACATCCAAGGTCAAGCTGGGAAGTCATCAGCAAGCCAGGGTCAGGACCAGGTCTGGAGACAGCAAGAAGTGCAAGACATCCCAGCAATTTCTGGGCAAGTCTACAGTGATGAGGCAGGTCTGAGATCAAGACAGAAAGTCAAGTCTGCAGTATGCTGTATTTACCCCTGTTTGGCTAAACAGATTTACTCAAATTACAACCATCAGCATGTACACTAATCAAGTGGGAAATCCAAACAAATAGTTCGACCTGATAGATGATCTCTTTTTTTCTTATCATATATCTAGCCATATCCTGTGGTAGCTACAATGAGAAAAAGTGTGATCTTTCTCAAGAACACATCTTTTCGTAACAAAAAACACTGCAGATCTGTTTCCCTGTTAGCAGCACAGTATTGCATTTGTTTTGGGTCTGTGTTCTGCCTGATTCATAGCCATATTCTGTACTGTTTTCCCTAAGTATCTTCAGTATTATCCTGCTGAATACCTATTCTGAAGCAAGGTCCCATCTTCCACTATCTCTGTGGTGAGGGGATATTACTCTGCTTCTCGTGCTGCTCAAAGTCATTCTTTATTGCAGTTACTGTGTTTTATAAACAACAGATGCTCTGTGCCCCTTGTCCATCTTAAACAATTGCTGTCAAGATGTAGCATCAGAATAGGCCACCTTGGCAACAAACAAACATAAAATTCCTCACTCCAGCGTCTGGACTATAGGTCATGCTTTTCAGTGCTGACTGCTCTGGCTGGAGATGATTCCATCTCTTCTGCCTTTTCTCTGGGTTTAAAGAAACAGTTCCCAAGTACTTGTAATTTTGGCAAAAGAATTCATTTAATGAATTATGCTCTGACTAAACAAAATCATACATGTAGCCAGTGGGTAATATTCATATTCATACAAATACAAAAGAACAGTAAAATGCAAAATATACCCTTTTACTGTTGAGCTAACTTTCTTCCTTTCATTCATCCCAGAATCATTTTGGCCATGAACTGAAGAAATAAAGAAGAAAAAATCCTCCAGCATAGAATAGCTATTTTCCATCTTTCACTGGAGAAATTCAAGAGGCTGTATCTGATAATTACAAGTCAAGCTTTAAAAAGGCATCCAATTCTCTCCTATGAAGACAGGCTGAGAGAGTTGGGGTTGTTCAGCCTGGAGAAGAGAAGGCTCCAGGGAGACCTTATAGTGGCCTTACAGTGCTTAAAGGGGGCTACAGGAAAGATGGGGAGGGACTCTTTATCAGGGAGTGTAGTGATAGGACAAGGGGTAACAGTTTTAAACTGAAAGAGGGTAGATTTAGATTAGATATTTGGAAGAAATTCTTCCCTGTGAGGGTGGTGAGTCACTGGCACAGGTTGCCCAGAGAGGTGGTAGATGCCCCCTCCCTGGCAGTGTTCAAGGCCAGGTTGGACGGGGCTTTGAGCAACCTGGTCTAGTGGAAGGTGTCCCTGCCCATGGCAGGGGGGTTGGAACTAGATGATCTTTAAGGTCCCTTCAAACACAAACCATTCTATGATTCTGTGATTCTATGAAATTCTCTTACATCTAATCTTACTTACTTGTCCTTAGGTTCTGCTGGTACTGTGGAAATCAGTACTGGTTTAATTATTAATTTTTCCAAGGCTTTATGTTTGATGCTTTCTTTTCTCAGTGGAAATGTTAAAATATAATGTTATATTATACTCTTAAAATCTATGTTCCAGTTATGTACTTTTCAGCATATTAGTTTACAGACATTTGCAAATTCAGGAAAGCTAGCTAAGGCAAGAAAGATGTTTTGACAAAGAGTTTCATTCTGGACTTTGCATTTTTGTTGTGAAAGTGTACAAGGGGCTGAAAATCATAAAAAAATGTCTGTCACTATTTCTTCAGTTATATGTATTACAGCTGAATCACGAATTAAAGAGCCTCATGGCAAAATGATTAAGATTTTTTTTTTTTTTTCTGGCCTTAGAAGGTATGAACCTATGAAATTACTTATATATAATATGTTGGAAAGTTTTGCCAGTTTAAGCCTTGTGCCAACAAACGGAGGGTTTTTTTATATGAACACTTTTTTGTACAGGTACACAGTTGTGAATTTCCTTTAAAGTGGACAGGAGAAATCTGATTTGCATGAGTTTGCACATCAAGGACTCAGGTCAAATAGGTTCTCAGCTTACTTTAATTTACACCTCTTCTTGCCTCATGGCATAATGATTGCACTAGTTTACAGTCCTTTATACATCAGCAGAATGAAAGCAAGTAAAAAAGATTCAAGTGAATTTAATGGAAATGGCTCTAATTTAGACAACCTTGTGAATACTTTTTGGACTCTCCCCATAGAAATTAATGGTGTGGAATGTCTATTAATTCAGCTCTTCCATACCCTACAGTACAATAAATCCACACTGGCCTTACATGGGTCTATCTTTGATTGTAAAGTAGTGAGAAGCTCTCTTAGAAAGCACCTACTTGGCCAGTGATTTGGGAAAATAAATTCTGACCACGTAGGAGGGGAAATATATAACAGATTAATTTAGATATATGACTCAAAAATAATTTGCTATTCAGGAATAAAATACACATAGCAGTAGAAACCCTTCTAATGTGTCTAATTTAGCTATACCATTCACAACAGAGATTGCACACAAAATTCAGCTAATTCCACCCATTTCTAATTTTCTAACAACCAGGTGCCACAGTGATTTCACCTCCAGAATATTATTAAGATATTTTTCCTTTTACAGTATTTTAGAATGTCTGGTTTTATAAAGCAAGAAGTTTGATCATCTATCCTCTGAAATGTGGACACTAGAAAGAGACTGCACTGTACTAGCTACTCAACCACTGCTGAATGTAAAGTGCAATCTCAACACCAACTCAGTATTGTCCTGCTTGTATATGCAATATTCCCACCGGTTCTTTCAGTTCAAGTGTCTTAATGGGAGCTTACATACAGCTGATGAACCCTCTGATAACTGATATTTTTCCCCCAGTGACATAGCCCTGGAATATAATTTCTTATCTTCTATTTATTCAGTGTGTGACCACACTTTTGGACATACCAAACCACACGTTTCTTTGCTTGTTTGTAGTTTAGAAGCGTCCATATAGCTTTCTAGCAACATATTATTAGTTCCATCATTTCATGTTTCCCAGTCTTTGTCAATCGTGTTTTATTCAATATCATAATAGTATTGTCAAGTAGATGGGTGCAAAAATCCAAGCCCATATCTACACATAAGGCAGCCAAAAGCAGATCTCTGTTCCCCAATATTATATATATTTAATTCCAAGACCTCTTAAATTTAGCCTCTTGCACAGCAGATTGGCTACATACACAGTCTGTGGTATCCCTCTGACCCCAAGGCATAACCAACATTACTTCTTGGAGAAAAAATTCAGGTCAAGTATCTGAAGTAACGTGAGAATTGTTTTGCACAGTTGCTTGAGAAGGGCAATGGCCTAGTCAGCAGCCACACCCAGTTAAGTAGTCTTCTCTGTCCTTCCAAACATACTAGTAATTATTAGACACTGTGCTTCATTAATGTATTGCAAAAAAGAAAGCAAGCTCTACGTTAATTATGGTACGTCATCCAAGAAAAATACTTCTATTTCTTGTATAAGTAGTCTGACACCTTCTTTTCAAAATTATCTATTAAGATGAAGGTTATAATTTTATATATTTTTAATTGCAGCACAATCAGCAAATGTGTCCATATGTTACTTATACTTCCAGTCTACAGCTACTGCTTATTAGCAAGCAGATTTAAAAAACATTGACAATGTCTTTCAATGCTAAAAATTCACTGGAAGCTTTTGAAATTGTCAGGTTTTTTGCAGCAAATGAAGTGTACTGCTTAGAGAAAAGTAAACGAAGCTAAACATGCACTTGATATTGATTCAGTCTACACAACAGATGGCAACATGGATGCAAATAAAGTGCTTGTCCTTTTATTATTATTAGTTAATATTTACATCACTAGTATGCCCAGAGGCCTCAGTCAGGAGCAGAGGCCCATTATGCTAGACACTACACAAATACGCACCGGAACATTTTGTTCCAGTATCATCTTTCTCCTGCTGCACACTAAACTCATTGATGACTCATTTGTATTGCCCAGAGAGTCGTTCAAGCATACAGAGGGTTGATTTCCTCCAGCTGCTCTGTAAAGTTTATAACCTAAGCTGCAAAGGAAGGAAGGGAGGGAAGAAAGCAAGCTTCTGAAATGTAAAAATTCACTTTGAAGGTTTTACCTTGCATTCCTTATAGCACAGATGTGTTGGAATACCCCTTCACTTTCTTCTCAGGTTCCCTCTTAGTTTTCCACTGCCCCATTGTTCCACCCATTTTCTTAATTCTGTCTCCTTCCCTTTGTTGCATTCTCCTTGCTTTTTCTCCAATGCTTTCATGGCGTATGCTTTTACCAGAACATCACCCCCATATCCTCCAAGCCTGGTAAGACTCCGGGAGCTATATAGGAGTTACAAAGCGTACGGTATTCATTGGCCAACAAAGACATCTGTAATTATTAACTGAACTAGTGTATTCAATTTTCAAATTCAAAATGTTTAACTGTTCTCATCCAGAGTGTGATATATTTTAATTATGACAATTAATGTGTTGGTGTATTGTGTATGATTAGTTCTACAGTACAGAAGAAAAGCCTCTTTGCCAGTAAGTTCTTCTCTGAGGACCGTTTCTACCATGTAACAGAAGCAAACTCCCCTCCCCCCCCCCCCC